GCTGCTGCTCCTCACTCTTCACTCTCTGCTCCGTGTGTTTACGATCTCTGCAGCGTATCCCGAACGCCGTCGTGCTAACAGAGGCTAATTTTATTAGCTAATCACAAAACGTACGTGTGAATGTTAGCGTGAATGTTAGCATGAATGTTAGTGTGAATGTTAGCGTGAATGTAAGCGTGAATGTAAGTTTGAATTTTAGTGTGAACGTTAGTGTGAATCTAAGAGTGAATGTTAGCGTGAATGTTAGCATGACCGTTAGTGTGAATGTTAGTGTGAATGTTAGCGTGAATGTTAGTGTGAATGTTAGCGTGAATGTTAGCGTGAATGTTAGTGTGAATGTTAGCGTGGATGTTAGCGTGAATGTTAGTGTGAATGTTAGTGTGAATGTTAGCATGAATGTTAGAGTGAATGTTAGCGTGAATGTTAGCGTGAATGTAAGCGTGAACGTTAGTGTGAACGTTAGTGTGAACGTTAGCGTGAATGTAAACGTGAATGTAAACGTGAATGTTAGCGTGAATGTTAGTGTGAATCTAAGAGTGAATGTTAGCGTGAATGTTAGCATGAACGTTAGTGTGAATGTTAGTGTGAATGTTAGTGTGAATGTTAGCATGAATGTTAGTGTGAATGTTAGCATGAATGTTAGCGTGAACGTTAGCGTGAACGTTAGCGTGAATGTTAGCGTGAATGTTAGCATGAATGTAATTGTGAATGTTAGAGTAAATGTTAGCGTGAATGTTAGCATGAATGTTAGCATGAATGTTAGCGTGAATGTAAGCGTGAATGTAAGGTTGAATTTTAGTGTGAATGTTAGCGTGAATGTTAGCGTGAATGTAAGCGTGAATGTAAGTTTGAGTTTTGGTGTGAATGTTAGCGTGAATGTTAGCGTGAATGTTAGAGTGAATGTTAGTCTGAATGTTAGTGTGAATGTTTGCATGATTGTTAGTGTGAATGTAAGAGTGAATGTTAGCGGGAATGTTAGCGTGAATGTTAGCGTGAATGTAAGCGTGAATGTAAGTTTGAGTTTTGGTGTGAATGTTAGCGTGAATGTTAGCGTTAATGTGAATGTTAGCGTGAATGTTAGCGTTAATGTGAATGTTAGCGTGAATGTTAGCGTGAATGTAAGTGTGAACGTTAGCGTGAACGTTAGCGTGAATGTTAGCGTGAATGT